TATACAGTAAGATAACATGTGAATAATATCGCTTCATTGGATCACTTACGTTGCATGCCAAGTTCATTTATATTAATATTTACATTTGATATAAAGATAATTTTTTTTAAATTTCACTAACCTGCTGTCTCACCACTTAATAGCAGAAAAATCACCAAACTCACACTACATGGAGGAAACAAAAGAATGTAAATGAGGTAAGATGGGAACTCGAGATGCATGATTGACATCTGACTGGAACATTCTGGAAGGAGAGGCGAGAAGCTCCTGTTTAGAACAGTCTTTACCTGTGCTTCTGAGACACCCAGCCTGTAGGGGTCCAAATCCCAGCCATTTACATCTGTGCTTTGAGAATCAGTTTATGTCAATGACCTGTCCCCACCTGTGGACTAAGCTCTCCCACACCTGGCAGGACCAGCCTTTCAGAGTCTGAACAGCTTCCACGAACATGACCTTGGATCAGTCCTTGGGCAATTAGCTTCTTTCTGAATTCAGAATTTGGGTCAGAGAAATCAACCCCCCGGCCTGAGGAGTCACTGGAAAGTTCTCCAATGGTCCCAGAGTTCTCCATCTATGTGAACTTGTACCAGGAGCTGAGTGAATCTTTTCCCGACAGGTCTTTTCAGGGAAGAGCAATGGGGTTGCGTGGGAACACCGACTAGATCTCAGGCTGCCTCGGGGATCAAGAACTAAGCAGGAACCAGGAGTTTATTATTCCCATGGTTTTGTTTAGGAGACAAGGTCCTCACGCTTTAGCCCAGGCTGACCTGGAACTCACAGGCTACTCTGGAACTTGCCACAGTCTTTCTGCCTCTGCGTCCCATGTTTTGGGATTGAAGGGCTGTGCCCCTGTGTCTGGCTCAAACAGGCTTGGAGGTGGCATGAAGAAGAAGGGGCAAAGACTTGGGTACCCGTGAACTGCTGCGTCCCTGCCTAGGTCTCTTGCTATGGTTGGAGCATTGCTGTGGCAGGCATCTTTGTCCAACTCCAGTCTTAGGCATCTAAAGAACAGCTTCAGATGGCTGGTCCTGCACCCCAGACTCGTCATCGACTTCCTGAAACTCGTTAGAGATGGTAGCTTTCTGCCCTCTGTAGGATTATGAATGATTCTAAGCCAGGACCACATCCACCTGAACTGCTTCCAAGCCAGTGATCAGGGGGAGCGTAAGGTGGTAATTAATGCTGGGGAGACAGCATGGGCGTGCACACCCTTTATTTGGGGAGTTTCCAATTAGGCATCCTCAGATAGATTTTTGGGAATCTGGATTTTATCTCAACCTACAATCTCATAAATTCAGATTCCATATGACCTTTATCCGGGGAACCAAATCTCCTTCATTGTCAGGCTGGCCAAAACAAGGAGACATAGAAGCTCATCTTGATTCAGTCAACTTTTGGACAACAAACAAAAATGCATCTCACCTGTGTGACACGCGACATGTTGGCTGGGAACCAGAGGGCACAGTTTCCTTCACAAATAGTGGACACCGACAGGAACACACAGTTGCCCCTTGGGACTCATGTCACAAAACAAGCTACCCCGAATGATGCAACACACAGGAGGACTTTGCAACCTTCTCTATTGGAGATGGCTTATTCCCTGGCTCCTAGCAGAAAAGATCCTATTTCTGGTACCCTTCCCAAATGACAGTTCTGTCTCCCTTTGGTTTTTCTATTCTGTTCTCTGGCCTCTGTTCACAGGTTTCAGAGGCTTGGGCAAGACGTGCTGGAGCTGGCAGGGGACAGCACCCACCCAGAGGAGGTACCACCCTCCTATTGGTGGCCACATGGCTTGTGACTGAGAACATGTTGATGGGCGGTACATTCCTTGAACATTCCCAAAGTAGGCCAGATATGCAGGACCTAGAATCTAGCAGTCCTTAAAGAACATTCTCTAACAGGTCCAAGGATGGAGCAAACATCCAGGTGAAACCTGCTTTCTCTGAAATATTTTTTCCCAATTAGCCCATACTTTCTGAAAAATTCTAGTACCTGTCTCCTTTCTAGAGATCCCTTCCCTATCCCTGCCCCTCCCCCGACTCTGTGTTTGCAAGCAAAGCTCAGTACAACTTGTTCTGGGGAAGAGGATGTCCTTGAACTCCTATTCTGAGTTCCTGCCCCTCCCAACTGCTAGAATTAAAGGCATACCCGATTAGCCCTGCTTGGACAACTTCTGAAAACATAAAGGACTGGTTTGGAAGCCAAGACATCCACCTGAAGAAAAGGTTGACCCTATCCAGAATGTGGGCTGTCTTCTGTTGACAAGCTCACCAGGAGAGGAGCTGGATAAGCAATGTTGAGATACAGGGGGCTGCTTTGTGAAACTGATTTTTTTCTTTCCCCTTTGAGTGGGAATAAGTCTTAGTGTGGTAGCTCATGCTAGCCCAGAACTCTGTTTGTAGCCCAGGCTTGCCTAGAACTTAACTATTTCACTCAGACTGGCCTTGAACTTGCTCTGCAATCCAGGCAAATGTTGAACTTCAATCATCACACCTCCGTTTGTCAACTGCCAGGCATTACAAGCATGTTCTCCCGTGTCTGGCCGGATTCTTTGTAGTATTTTAAGATAGAACCAATATTAAATATAAACCATTGGCATTAACATGACGGTAATGCAATTGCAGTAAGCATAGGACCCAAGGAGAAGGCCTAGGTAGCTGGTCCACCTGTGCTCTTCCTCCAAACCAACTGTGCGTGGCAAAGGCCACATAGCTGAGAACAGTCCCCTGAGTGTTAGTCAAAGTGCGGATGGAATGAAGCTAAGCAGTTGTGACAGTTACATGAACATGGGGATGGGGTGGCCTAGCTTCTCCTCTACTCTGTCCTGACTATAAATAATTCAAGTTAAAAACTCTAATGGCTGCATAGCTTGCCTACTGCACATGGATTTTTCTCCCCGCGGAGAAGGGGAGCCGGGGAATCAACGCGGAGGAAGAACAAATGGCTGTGAATTCTGGACTCTCAGCCCTGTAGGGCTTCCTGGAAGAGGCCAGTGGAAAATCGCTGATCTGAAGTTGCTTGCGACGGATGCGCGGATGCTTCCCAGGGAATGGAGTTCTGTGGTCTTCCAGATCATTATAAACAGTGTGTGCCAAAGTCTAGAAGATTCATCGGAGCTCATCTGTTACCGTTATCATAGCGTTATATAAAAATAAGGACCCTTTTCACGAGAAGGTTCCAGACTCTCTGTGTATCTTAGGCAGCAGGGTAGATCGAGTAGCTGTGGACCATTAGGGACATGGTGTAGGGACAAGACCTAATATGATTTGAGGTACAAAACTTAGCACTTTCATCACGGGCCCACGAGGAAGCAGTCCACATGTGACATGCAGCCAGACACCGCCAAGCCAACCCATCCCGGGAAGCACACCCAACAATCACCTTACTCATCTTCTCATGATGCCCTCATAGGGTCCCGGGGGCACTATCTTTGATTCAAAAACAATGTACGCAATACTCTTTGATTTATGACCTGAGTCTGGATTTGAGCCCATAGCAGGAGACTGCAATAAAAGCCAGTTTTTCTCTCTGCTCTTAGAGTTTCCAATCCCTTTGAGGGTCCACTGACTGGGACAATGAGGATTGAGAATGGGACTAGTGGCTGCGGGCTAGAAGGGATGCTCTCCTCAACATACTCTGCCTTTCTTTCCTTCTTTCTTTCTCTCTTTCTTTCTTTCCTTCCTTCCTTCCTTATTTCTCTCTTTCTTTCTTTCTTTGATCCCATCCTTTCAGATACTAGATTACCTGTCATGTAAACTCTGAGACAGGAGCAGGTATGGCAGACGCCTAGGAGATGCCCTGGTCCCTGCATATAGGTCTATAGGTCACCCAGGACGTCTTGCAATCGCCGAACTTGCCCAGGAACTCCTGAGAGCCACGGTTCACCTCAGTTCTTCTTTCTAGCTTACAGGACGGGAGAGTGTCAACAAGCAAGCAAATACTTTTAAAGATTACAAGTTTAGCATGTGTTTCGGCCCGCCAGAAGATGTGGGGTGGGTTTACCCCTCCCATATGGAGAAAGTCTTGTTCTTGGAGGTGAGATAAAGGATAGAGGTGAGGAGGCTACCATCCAGGGCTTACTCCTTTTCTCCTGAGTTGGGGGGGGGCAAGGACTCATTCAAATACAACAGGGAAAGGTAAGGAAGTCATGCATATTCTTCAGAGGTCAATTCCCCATCTCAGCAGGAGCTGGATTCTGGGAGTCAAGAGTGCAGGCAGGTAGGATATACAGTGTCCTTTAAGAAAATGTTCCCTATGTTTGTACCTTGGCAAACTCAGGGAAGATGCAATGTTTCCATGGCAATCTCTTATAGTTGTCACATGGAACTTGCACGCATTCTGGAAGCCATCATTATCAGTTCCAGGGTGGAGTCCCGACTGGGGATTCGATCTACCTCCAGGGACAGTGAGGGGATAGCTTGTTTGAAGGTTACTGGGTTCAGAGGCAGCCTGCCTTTCTGTCCCATGTCACATGCTGTCCTAGTGTCTGACATTCATGGAGGTCTCGGGGTATGGAGCTGAGCTGGTAGCAAGAATGAGCCAGTCAGTGAATTACCTCATGGCTGGGTAGCCTCTGTCACCGATTCCCAAGGCAGCAAAAACTGAGGCCCCTGGCTCTCCTACAGAGGGTGCCTTAGCAAGTATGGGAGGCAAAACTTTCTGGAACCATCAGCCAACCAGCTCCTCCTTTCCAGTAACTGTCCTGAGAATATTAGAGGGTCATGAACCTCGGGGTAACATTTGCGTGAACAGACCAGGGAGTGGGGCTGCCTGGAAAATAATCCTGACACCCTAAATACATCAAAGACAGATATACAAGCAAAGCAGTTAGCAGGCGGGCCAACTAAATGCCACTAGACCTGGCTTCCTGCCCTGCTGTATTCAGTCGCTGGGTGCTGCAGATGAGGAGGATGCTGGGAGACTAACTTCTGGGCCATCAGAGAGACTCTGATGGCTGTTTTCCTATCATTCTTCCATGCAATTTGGAAAGATGTTAGAGGGTTTTGTTTTGTTTTGTTTTTAAAGGGAATGGGTACTCATGCCCTTCTTGTAGGGTGCAGGCTTCCTTTTTTTAACATTATTACATCTCCATTCATTGCTGAAGGAATCTAAACTTTTCATCTTTGGGGATCAACCTCCTTCAGAATGGGGCAGATGTTGCAGAAAGCAACATTTGAAGACATCTATATGTCCCCCCTCAGTAGCTAATCTCAGTTGCAGCATGGCTTCCGCCCCCTTTTAGGTCCTTAGAATCCTGCACTTCCGATGCCTTTGCCTGGTTTCTCCAGCATGCTCCCAAGAGGATGCAGTTTGGAGTTTCAAACATCAGCAAGTGATAGGGAAGCATGCCACTGCCAGCTCTGCTTGCCTTCTTGCGCACACCCGGCAGAGAGAAGACCATGGCTCCAGGAAGAAACTTAGGGGGAGGGAAGTTGTGCGGTGTATTAATATTCTGTGTCTCTTCCTGTTCTAGTGCAGGAGTCTGGTCCTAAGGGGACCATGGTGACTCAGCCTAGGGAAGAAACGGAAAGGGCAGGTTTGCAGAGGGCACCGTAAGAAAGGCAGGCCGGCTGCTGCCTGGATGTGCCAGACTCCAGGCAGTTTTATGAAGTGACTCTGTGCCCCTTTGGGCTCTTAGGACCTCTGACTTGCTCTCTCTTGCCTATGCTATGGCTCAAACCTAGTTTGACTTGTGCTCTTAGTGAATATTCACACCCTACAGTGGGAAAATATCTACAGCCGCCCTCCACACGATTGCGTGGAGGGCTGTAGAGGTGAGCTAGAGGAAGACCCTAGGAGGAGAACTTGCATGATCCAAGTCTAAGGCGGCAATAAGGAGGGAGAAGGGAGGGAAGCTGGGCTAGAGGAATATGGCATCGCACCAAAAAAAAACCCTACCCGGCTGCAGGAGAGAGAGAGAGGCTGCTGGCGCCTCAGTGTGCCTGGAAGAAAGGGTAAGGAAGGAGGAAGGAGGATCAGGAAGCTTCCGGCTGAGATCCAAAGAAGCAGGAGCAGGACTACTTCACTACAGAGATAAAGACTTGGGCTCAGAAAAGCACAAAGGGAACTAGCACTTCTATAGGTGACAGGCAATCTGACCACTCACACTCGAATTCATAGGGAATCTAGGAAAACTGAAAGAAACGAGAGTCTCAGCCCGATGCTGAAAACAGACCCCAACAGAAGCGCCCTGTGGTCAGGAGTCGAGTCTCCGCCACATCAACCACGCCCATCAAACATCTCTCTCTCTCTCTCTCTCTCTCTCTCTCTCTCTCTCTCTCTCTCTCCTTTCTCTTTAAACGAATCTCTGGCATAATCTGAATATCATGAGCTATTAAGCAAAATCCAGCCCAGAGAGCCATGTGATCCTTCCAGTTTTTCTGCTCCAGGTTCTAGGCCTCTTTCTCTTAGCTGGGGAAAGACTCATTAAGAAAGTCCGGGAGGAGGGAAGGGTTTAGGTGTACACCAATCTTAACTTACAGATCTTGTCTAGCATGGCGACTCAGAGGGCCTCTGTTACTTTGGATGCCTGGGGTGTGGGCCTCCTTGCCACCAGGCTCAATCCTTCCCCTCCCCCAGTAGCTTCACCCTTTGCTCCCAAGAAGCAGGGATGGGTGTGAGTTAGAGGACAAGTTCCCGTCCAAAGTAAGTGGTTAGGGAAGAACAGCATCAAACACGGAGAAGTCACTTGTCTGTCTATGCTTCTGGGTTACAGACACACCCGGGTTATAGATTTTTTTTTCTTTTCTCTAATGGTGGCACAGGCAAGAAAAGCTGGGAGCCAGGCTCTCTGCAGATTCCAAGATGCTGGTGCGGGATGGACTTCAGAAACAGAAAGCCAAGTGCCAAGGAAACCAACCGAGAGCGCCCCAGCTCTTCCGACAGGAGTCCTGTAGAAAAGGCAATAAGACCAGCAGTGGCTACAAGGAGCTTGCGCCCTGCCTAATGGCTTTCCCTCTCATGCCTTGGGGGGAGGGGTCTCCACGGGGTGGAGGAAGGAAGCCAGGGTGAGATAGAAAGTCCCCTTTTCTGTAGCAACCCAGAGGTCAACCTCAGCAGGGAGTTTCTTTGGGTCCCTGGGTTGAAAGAATCGGGGCCTGGATGGAGGTGAGTGTTGTTCATATTTGTCTTTTCTTTCTCGCTCTGCGATGCCACCACGATACTTGGATGGCTACTGGAATTCCAAGACGAAAAGAAAGCAGTCTTTTTCCCCCTTCGGAGTTGCTTACTGGCGGTTGAAGCAATAATTGAGAACTCCCGGGTATTTATTGCATTGGGAAACAAAACCATGAAAGCATTTGAAGACAGCCCTTTAGTGTCCCTGCCAAGGAGATGGAGTTGATCCGTGATCCCGGTTACACTACAAACTTGAGTTCTTTACTGAACTGTACCAACAACTGCATCCATCCATAGGTCCAGATCTCCGGTGTGGAGGAACAGAGTCTGCCCGCGGGGCATGCACATGCGCAGTGAGCTGGCAACGCGGTTGTGGCTGGTGGGAGGCTGCTACTCCATGCCGCTCCGCAGGATCTGGTTGGCTGCAATCAGCATGACGCTTATGATGAAGGCCATGGCGAAGGCGCAGATGAGGCTCTTGCGGACGCAGGTCTGCCGGTTCTGCTTCTGTGAGTGGACTGGGGTCAGGGTGGGGAGAAGAGAGAACAGAGAGAGAGCTTGAGACGACTGTATGTTTTCTACACAGCATAGGCTGTGGCTGGTCTAACCGACTCAGGTGGTGGATATTATGGGACTCTTAGCAACTGCAGAGCAGAAACTTCTGGTGAAAGGTATAAGATGGTAAAACATCCCTACCAGAACTGTAGTCCGTGAGATGTTTAGAGAAAGATTTAGACATCTGGATATAATGGACCTACAGTGAGTTTCGGAGACAACGACTTTTGTAACATTCCAGAATGAGTTTCAGAAAAGACACCGTGCGGCATTATCATCCGCTTTCTGTAACCAGCACTGATAGATGAGGTTTGGAAGCTTCCCGCATATGGTATGTGTGTCTTGTTTGTACCTGTACACATGCCTGTGGAGAACAGAGGACAGTCCGTCTTGGTTTTTGATACACTCTTACCAGTTGGGAATTTGCCTAATAGCCTAGGCTGGCGGGTGCAGCGAGCCCCAGCAAGCCACCTGTCTACCTCCCCAGTACTGTGATTACAAGCGCATGCTACCACATCTATGTAAAAATCAGTTTCTCCTGCTTGCAAGACAAGCATTTTACCAAACCGAGCTGGCTCCCCGGTGTGCTTTTGGAGACTCAATCACCTCTCAATAGTGCCATCACTTGGGGACCAAGTCTTCAACACAGGAGCATCAAGAAGACACCTCATAGCTAAACAGGACACGGGGGAGGTTGATACAAAAGGCACTGTCCTGTTCATTGTGGAGTCACTGAATCAGGTCACTGGGAAGGAGTCTGGGAGTTCGCATCTTAATAAGCTCTTCCAGGGTCTGGACAACTTTCGGTTGATTTGATAGGCCTGGATGGAGGTCGAATTGCCAGAGACAAAAGAGGGGTGTGTGAGCATGCATGTGTGCGTGTGTAGTGTCTGTGGTTTATGCTTGTGGTGTTGAGAATCATGGTCTTTCAGATTTACCTACTAAAGAAGACTAGGGACTTGGGATAAGACTTGGCTAGGAAAGTGTTTGCTGTGTAAGCATGAGGACCCGAGTTCAATCCCCAGAAACCACAAAAAAACAAAACAAAACAAAACAAAACAAAAAAACTGGGCATGGTGGCAAATGCTTGTGGTTCCATTCCAGAGCTGGAGAGGGAGAGGCAGGTAGGTCTTGGGGCTCCCTGGCCAGCCAACCCAGCGTACTTGATGAGTTCCAGACCGGCCAGGCGGGTGGCCTCCATGTACTTGCACATCCACACAATACACACTCACATACGTGTGTGTGGAGACCAAGAAGTTTGGCAAAGCCAGATGTGGTGGTGCATTCCAGTAATGCTAGCTACATGAAGTCAGGCAGTCAGGAGAATTGTGAGTTTGAGGCATGATTTGGCTACATAGTGAGACTCTGTCTCAAAACAAAATAATAAAGCATTTTTTAAAAAGTGAGTGAGAGAGAGAGAGAGAGAGAGAGAGAAGAAGAAGAAGGAGGCAGGGAGGGAGGGAGGGTGGCAGGGAGGGAAAAAGGAAGGAAGGAAGAAAAAAATCAGGCTGACAAGATGGCCCATGGGTAAGGAGCTTGCCATCTGGCCTGATCACCTGAGTTTGCTCCTGGAGACTCACATGGTACAAAAGGGTGAAAACTGATTCCTGAAAGCTGGCCTCTGACCACCACAAGAGCGACCTCCCCCACACCATTAACACAAGAAATTAAATAAATAAATAAATAGTGCTTAAAGGAAGCAGATACATAGAAGACTGGAAAGAGGAATGGACCAGTCGGGCCTCTCAAGAACACGAAGCCCAGTGTCTTGCTCCAGTGTCTCCCGCCATGTTGGGACTCCCCCAGACCATGTAGAAATAACAGACTAATGAGTAGGAATCAGGCCATGTTTTCAAAGCCAAAAAGAGCCTTCCTGGGAGGAAGGGCCCAAGGGTTTATCAAGGATCTCTGAAAATTACTGTCAAGCCAGATCCACCGTGAGTCTGTACCCCCAGCCATGGCTCTGGTTCCCTCTCCAATTTGCCAAAATCCTCTACCCAGAATCCCCTAAGTCTCGTCATGTTATCGTTAATCCTCCTGGATCCACCAGGCTTGTGCTTCCCCTGGGTGACTTAGGAGTGTTTTTGTGGTTCGATTCTCCAATTACTGATTAGCTCTGGGTTTTAAGCTCTTAGCTGAAGGAGGAAATTTTGTTTGGTGTGGAGATGGGCTTCTCTGGGAGTAGACACATTGAAAGAACAAAACACCAACTCTTAGAGAGGGCAAAAGAGATGGTGTTTAAGAAGGAGAGGATGGGCATGGGGCTCAGTTGGTGAAGTGCTTGCCCAGCATGCTGACACCCTGGGCTCCTTCCTCAGTGCTGCATTAAGAAAGAGTAGGGGTGCACACCTGCAAACTCAGCACCCAGGAGGTGGAGGCAGGAGGATCAGACGTTCAAGGTCATCCTTGGCTACAAAGCCAGCTCCAGCCCAGCTGGGGATCCATGAGACCCTAGTTAAACAAACGATGAACCAGAAAAAAAAAAATGAACTGCAAATGTGATTGTGGCTTGTTGAGGACCAGCTGAGGTATTCCGGGCCTGGGCCTGTGTAGAAATTGTCCTGCCGCACTCCATCCTGAGTGTCTGTGAAAACCTTCAGCCACAGAAAATGCTGGCCCAAGGGGGAACATGTTCATGAAACCCTTTCTTTTTGAAGGATACTCAGGAAACAAGGTAACAGGTGACAGGCTTTTATCCCCCGTTAAGTTGTGGCTATGACGTGTCTCCCACACATTGATGTGTGTGAACATGTGGTCCCCTGCTGGTGGTGCTGTCTGGGGACCCTTCAGGAGATGGGAGTGAGTCACTCAGGGGGTCGACACAGTCACACTTCCTGTCTTCCTGTTCCTGACCTTCCTAAGCAAGGCCCTCATGCCTGCAGTGATGAGCTGCCTCTACCCGGAGCCCCGCCCCTCTGACGGACTGTATTAAACGCTGAGACCAAATAAATCTGCCTCCCTTAGATTGACTGAATTCCTGTGAGGATTCAGCCATACAGATGAGAAAGGTGACTAACATATCCCAGCAATGTCACTTCCTCTTTGATCTCAGAATCCTTCAAAGCCTGGGAAGGGAGAGATAAGAGGTGCCTGAGAATCCAGACAGGCGTGTCCAGCCTTCTGACACCGTGGAACAATGCTGTCATCTATAAAGTTCACGCTAGACAACTGTACTATTCGTTGTTGTTGGGGTTTTTTTAATCATGCCCGCAAGCGATACAATGTTTTAAGCAAGCGATACAATGTTTTAAGCAAGCGATACAATGTTTTAAGCAAGCGATACAATGTTTTAAGCAAGCGATACAATGTTTTAAGCAAGCGATACAATGTTTTAAGCAAGCGATACAATGTTTTAACTAACTTTACAGTTTCGTGTTGGGCTGTGTCTGTAGCTATCATCAGCTGCAAGCCAAGCATGCCGAATAAGCTATAAGGGCTGCAAACTGGGCGTGCCACAGTTAGAACAATGTCCTATAAGCGGAGGAGGCCTTCTAGAACATTCTGAGGCCATACTAAATTGGAAACAGATCCGAACTGAAACCTGTAAGTCCAGCTCAGTATCGGGTGGAAGATTGTTTTGCAGTGAACCCGGACATCACCAGAGAGCAGAAATTGTACGGTGGAGCAAAAAATATAATATCTTTTGTGGCTGAACCTAACACTCAATTTCCTTATTTATAAAATAGGGATAATAAGAGTCACCTTGGAAGAGATTTAAAGACAAAAAAGAATTTAACTTCGAGAAAGGATATTGCTTGTGCCCAATTCCGGCTGACTTTCTCCTTTAAAAACCCAAGCTGGTTTATTTCATATGTGTGGGCATGTGTGTGTGTGTGTGCAAGTGTGTGAACACCTTGGGTGTCTTTCCCCAGGTACCACTCACCTTCTTGTTGAGACAGGAACTTGTCATTTAGGTTAGACTGACTAGTCGTGTCCCTGCCTCTGCAGCATGGGGGTTCCAGGTGCATGCCACCATGCCCTGCCTAGTTCACACAGATTCTGGGGATGGAATTTAGGTCCTTATACTTGCAAGGCAGATACTCTATAGACTGAGCCATCTCCCTAGCCCTAGAATTCATGTTGAGTTATTGGACATCCCTTAATGAGCTGGTTATTGTGCTGATTTTATGTGCACGGTGCACGCAGACTTGGATCTCGCACAGGCTGGGTGTGGTGTCTTTCCATAGATGCAGAGCCTCCGGGGCCAAGCAGCCAAGCAGCAAACGCCAATGGCATTTGACAAATAACAGAGATGAGATTTGAACCCATGGTTTGCTCTGCCTTACAAGCTCAAAACCTCTGCAAACACTCTCCCTGACCCTCTGCTTGGTGACAGCGAACAGGTATCAGAGACTTGGTGTGGCTGGCAGGGGCCTGAGCCAGGACCTGGTTCATTTTCTTGCAACTCTCTTAAGGCCCATCATTGACAATTTTATATTTGCATTGCATTATAATTGCATCAAATAAATATTATGTATTCTTCGTGTCTATTCTTTTCTTTCTGAGTCCTGGCCTTGAACCTAGAGCCTCTTGTATGCTGGAGAAGTCACTGCCACTGAGCTATAGCCTCTGAGTCACAGTTTCACCCCTTGTTTGTTTTATTTTGTAACTTGATATCATTGTTTTGGAGACAGTATCTATCTTACTATGAAGTCCAGAATTTCCTTCAGCTTGCAGCAACTGAAGCTAGAGGCTGCCTCAGCCTCTCAGACTGTCTGGAATTTAGGCGCGAGGCACCATGCATGTTTATTTACTTAAAGATTTATTTTTATTTTATTTATGTGTATGCCTGTGTATAGCATGTGGTTGTGAGTTCCCAAGGAGGCCAGAAGAGGGCGCCAGATCCCTTAGAGCTGGAGTTGCGGGAAGTTGTGAGCCACTCAATATGGGTGCCGGGAACTGAACTCCTTTGCAGGAGAGCAGCATGTACTCTTAATTGTTGCGCCCTCTCCCCTGTCCTTTC